ATCAATTTCAATCTAAATCCCTCCATGAAATCTAAATCCTTAAAAACAATCTTGCAAATAAACAGATCCTAAGAATTAAATATTAATGTGAAATTACAGAATTACCCTTATAATATAACTACGTTATCAACAAAATATCATCTAAATTGACCATTGACTATTATAACGGGTTGAAATTGTGACCTTCAAATAAGTATAAAGATATAAAACTAAGGGCCAAGGCATTTCAGATTAAACTAAGGTAAAATTACAAAAATACCCTTATTATATAACTAATTAAATCGATAAAATTTAATCTAAATTGACTAACAATAATATAAATAAAAAGTCACCTATTTTGAAAAAAAAAAATACCATGATGGAAAACAAGGTATTTTGGGATTAAGCCAAATATGAAATTACAAAAATACCCTTGTGATTATATATATATATATATATATATATCACTATAACAAAATCGGGTTTATAGACATTCTCAATTTCTAAATGTGCTAATAGACCTCTTTATAGGACTTAGTTTATAGGAAAAAAAAAAAAATAAAGCGTCATATCTAAAAGCGTTGTAATAAGTTTATATAACATTTTTTTGACGACGTAATAAATTTTTAGGACACTTTTAATATAAAACGTCTCATTATCAATTTTATAGGACACTATTTGAAAAATTGTCCTATAAAAACAAATGTCCTATAAAAAATTGAGTTTATAGGACACTTTCTCAAAAGTGTCCTGTAAAGTTGCTAATGCGACACTTTGTATTAAAATTGTCTTAAAAAACTTGTTAAAACGCCCAAAAACATCATATAAACTTATTACAACACCTTTAGATATGACGCTTTATATTTTGGTTCTATAATTTAAGTCCTATAAAATGGTCTATAAGACGCTTACAATTTTGTTGTTGTGTATATATATATATATGTATGTAAAACTAACTAACTTATCTAACACTCTGGTTAGGCAGGGACAGGCTGAGTGTTTGGATTGTTTAAAAAGGGAAAGGTTTTGTAAAGCCTTCCCTTTTACATTAATTCATCACACATATATATATATGTATATATATATATATATATATATATATATATATACGTGAATTTGAGGCAAAGAAACCTTTCACACCATCACCCGCAAATCTACACCATAAAAACTGTATACGTGGCACTAACCCACATAAGGTACCACAGAGATTTGGTGCACCCATAAAATGCAATTCTATTCTTTCTTTATAGCAACTTGCCCACCTCTTCTTTCTAGAAATCAAAACATTTGACTTTCCACCTAATTCACATAATAAATTTTAATCTCATTTTTAATTAATTAAAAAAAATAATCTTCTCCTTTTATTATATATATTTTAATTATTTGACTCAATTTTATTATTATTTTAGCGCTAGGTATGGTGTTTTTTTTTTAATTTTATTTAAAATTAACATGAGTTTTTGGTATTTTTTATAAATAATTTATTCAACACGTTAAGAAATTAAGATATATCTTCAATTATAAATCTGAATAAAAGTTAATTACTGACAACTCTAACCAGTATCACACGTAACCCTCAGATAGAGCATTCTATATCCATTTATCAACTAATCCTGAAGATACATATCTTATAATGTTTTAATGACAAAAAATGTTCCATTGGTGAATTTTTAATTTATAGGAGATATGTAACACTAATTCATACTTTTGTCTTCGGTATAAGTAAACACACGCATATATATATATATATATATATATATACATCGATGTAAGTAGACACACACACACACACACATATATCTATACTATATTATAAAGCATTTGGCTAAAACTCTTAAAAACTCTTAAACTCTTAAAACTCTTAAAGACAACATCTATTGCTAATGGTACAACCTG